GCTATTGTCTGCTAAACTATAAGCCATTTTCAACTAGATATATCACTCATAACTCTACAAAGTCAGACATTTGAAGCTTCCATGTATGTAGAAAACCTTGTTAGGAATCAAAAATTCAAGAGAATTTGTGGTCAATAATATAACTCTTGTTGCTAAAATAAATAGTTGATAATCGAAGAAACAGAAGCACAAGCCCCTGCACAGGAAGGAAAGTCACTTCATTTTGATCATCCCCCTTCCCTGAGCAAGTGACAACAAATACGTTTTTCTTGACGTTCTCACAAAAAATAGCTTTACCCATGGTTTGAGCTACAAGACTTGCTCACTGGAATAAAAAAAAAGTGCATTAAGAATATATACAATGTCCTGGAAGCCATATGGACCTTTTCATAGAATTTAGAATTTCATAGAATTTCTAGGTTGGAAAAGATCTTAGAGATCATCCAGTCCAACCCTCCCTAATCTCCCATTAAACCATGTCCCTAAGCAGTTCATCCACCCTTTTCTTAAACACATCCAGGGATGGGGACTCAATCACCTCCCTGGGCAGCCTATTCCAGTGGCTGACAACCCTTTCAGAGAAGAAATTCTTTCTAACATCCAACCTGAACCTCCCCTGACTAAGCTTATACCTATTTCCTCTTGTCCTATCACCCATCACTAATGTAAAGGGCCCTTCCCCCACTTCCCCACCATCCCTTCTCAAGTATTTGTCAAGTATTTGTAGGCTGTAATCAGGTCTCTCCTCAGCCTCCTCTTCTCCAGGCTAAACAGCCCCAACTCCCTCAGCCACTCCTCATAAGTTTTATTTTCCAGACCCTTCACCAGTTTAGTCGCCCTTCTTTGGACCCGCTCCAGGAGCTCCATATTTTCTCAGGCTAAGCAGATAAGGCATTTACATGATGCTACAAAACGACTTTCTTATGTATTACTCATCTGGTCTGTACTTGTTTTGTATCACGACATTACCACAGCGTTATATAAACATAATGCTCTGGAAGTGGACGACATGAGAGGCAAAACATGAACTATGAAGAAGTGCATCCAGTAGAAAAGCCCAAGATGACATGTGAGAATCTAACACAAAAGGAATTGACTACAAACGTATGCATAAAGTACGTGCCCATCAATAAGTTTACACAGTCAGCATCCCTCCTCTTCCTTCGACAGGAACAAACTACAGAAAGTTACTACTGAATTCAAACAACATTAAAATACATTACTCTCCACCTTTGAAACCACATTATCCTTTTCCTAGTCTAATGAAGAGTATTGTACTGTAATTAAATAAAATTTCTAAAAACATCTTATGGAACTACTAATACATTCATTCAAAACCAAAAGCTGTTCCAGGAAAGCAAACACTAGAACTAAACTGCAAATGCCGCTAAACTTGTTTCCATTATACAGTACAACCATGATCAATATTCTTTAGAGATGAGCTACAGTAATTTATTAATTTATTAAGGTCTGATGCAAAACCTATTAAAGTCAGTAGAAAGGCATGTTTTGGAAAACCCTGAATTACCTACTTTTACTGTAAGATACAAATCTGGGAATGCTGAGCCATACTAGCTTGCTCAGAATTTTTGTCTCAGGAAATACTAATAAACTAAATTACCATACAAAGAGATAGCAGTCATCAGTTATCTGATTTTTCAGCACTGAGACACAGTAGTAACATTTTTTATTTTTTCGAATCATATTTTGAAGACTCTTTCTGGTACTTAATTGAAATAAATTTCTGTAGCTTGTACATGTTATTCTGTTTGCCTGTCTGGTGACATTTATGGCACTTGTTGCTTTACGGGAAAAGCATCTTGTAAACACTGGAGGAACCAATGGAAATAGTATCCCTAAACACCATGAGCTTTTAAAACACGTTTTTCTAATTGTAGAACATTCAAACGTCTGTATACCATAAGTGAGACAGGAGTGACCCTGGGAATGCTGTTCCTTGGACAAACGAAACATAGCATTAGGCTACATGATTAAAGGCCAATCACAGCGAACACACAGACTGAGTGAGCGAGGAGCACAAGAAACCCAGTAACCTCAGCAGCGAGAACTGGAGCGCACTGAGATTCAGCTGCTCCTAAGATGATGAAGGAGGACGATTAGAGCAGTGTCCCTGTGCGAAACCTACTAAGATGAGTCATGAAAAGCACCTCTCTCTTGCAAACTAAAGGAATTATTGCCTAAAGGGTTTAGGAATTACTGGCTTCAGGGGAAAGCATTGTGGGATATACAGGTTTTCTTTGTAAATAGTGGGTTGCATGTCTTTTAGATGGTATCACATCTTCTGCCCCTCCTTTAGCATAAAGCCCTTACAGTGCAGTAGCATGGAACGCTCTGAGGCTTTGTAGAACGGGTAATAGTAACATGGATATAGGATACCACTCCCTGCTCCCCTTGTTTATATACAATTCAGTTATCTGCTGCAAGATGTGGACTTAGAAGAAAAAAATAAAGAAAAAAATGGTTCAAACAGATATATTCCCGTTGTCGACTAATAAAGCTGAAACTGTTTTCCTTCAAATACAACAGCTTGAAATTTGGCTATAACTAAATATTTATAGATCCTTTATAGTCCTTTACAGACTTCAGTTTGAAGCTTACGTTAATTTTCCTACTACCTACTATCATCCTTTCCCAATAAGCTTACAGTGGTTCTCAGTGTGTCTACACACAGTAATTAAAAGCTGAAACTTGAAAACAAAAAGGATATGATGCTTAAACACACATTTATATATGTACATTTAGATAGAAACTATATCTATAATACTATATTTAAACATTACACTCTAGAAAATAAAGTTAGGAATACACAGGCTTTCCCCTACAGCAATACATTAATTAAAAAGTGTTAATAAGAAGACAGATTTGTTGACTTTTTTTTTTTTCCCAATACTGGAATACAGGCAGAATTTGATTATCTCATCCCATTGAAAGATATAAATACAATGTCATTCTAGTTGAAAATGAGAGAAAAAAAAATCCATCTGCTGAATGATAAGTTCAAGATAACTGTAACAGTTTGGCTCATTATTCTGAACTTCTGAAACTAACGCTTGTTTTTTTCAGTAAGCAACAGAAAATCTGCCGGCTAGCTGGAACCTGATCTAAGGTTTCCTGGCTACTATCCAAAGTCAAACAAACAAAAAAATTCTGAAAGAGTGAGTTGTACTGAAGTGTAAAAAATGATAAATGCCCAAATCAGTTTCTTCACCTTCATCCTTTCAACAGCATTTGCAATCTACGAACAAAGTAGCAAAGCTTTTTCCTTCTTCAAAATGGCATGTGAGAATTGAGAGGCTCCAAAGGAGCTGAAACACTGAATTAGAGAAGTTGCTTAAAAAAAACAAACACAAGAAAAATAATAGTTCAGCCCTTGCCTTGCTGACAGGTGAGATAATAACCATTTCTGGTACTACAGAGAACTCGCAGATAGACTGGCATTTCAATGGAAGGAAAAACCACACCAGCCCATACGGTTCCCTTAAAACAAAAGCCTCTCGGGTTCATGACCAACGTTTCAGTCAGCCTCTAAGTAAGAAACAGCAACAACGAATCATACTGGGGATTTACTAACAGGTGTCATGAACAGTGGTGATTGTTTTAGAAAAGACTAAAAATTCTTTCACTACTGTACTTCATAATATATGTGAAAATACTATCTTCAAACTTAAACAAAAATCATCTTCGCAGAACTGATTCTCATGACCAGAGCACACAGCCTAACCCAATCACCACTTAAGCACTGTGGAAACTCTTTTAGTTCAAGTAAAAAACTTGCACCCCCTCCTGAATTCCTGCTACTTACTATGGCAAATTGAAGGAATTTTACTTGGAAAACACTTAGCCACCAAAGGCAGGTAATACAGTTTTAAAGGACTTTACTCAAAGATTAGGTTACCAGTTTTTAAACAAAAGCTCAGAACCTTTAAACATGAATGCAAATAACCCATTATTAAATACACAGTTCTGGTTCAGTGGCCACTATCACCAATCAGAGAACTAGCAGTCCCTTCAAAAGACTATGAATCAGACATCAAGAGTATAATATTCTTCTTAATATTATGTATTTGCAAGACAGAAGTCTTCAGACAAGTCTTTACAGAGAAGTTGTAAAAGTAGGAAAGTGATTCACCCTGCTTGAAATGGTTAACATTTAATTTTTGCAATTTAGATATTCAACCCTTATCTACTACTTACTATACAATGTAAATCAGTATGTATCGGAAAAACTCCAGCATGGTTTTGTGGTTTTTTCTTTATGTGCATACACACATCAGAGAGAGGCACGTTCTTTGTTAGAAATCAGCATGAAATTCTTCTGCAGGAACTTGAACATTTCCCTTCACAGAAATTTTTCCATGAAACTATGCTCTTCATATAAGGCGGTCATATCTAGTTAACCAAAACACTCAGTTTGCATAAAATTAGAGCTGCAACTAGTTTAAGATGTATTTTCAAAATACATGTGCCATAAATTCCATTACAGGAAAATAAGCAAGATGCTTTTTTTACAGCCAGGAGAAAGAAACTATTCATTTTGACACTCTATTAAAACTGAATAAGGGCACAAAAGGAATTTGTAACTATTAGTCCAAACGATCTATCTATTCTACAGTATGTGCAGTGCAAAGAACTTACAGTAACACCACAAAGTAACACCAGCTCTTTCAAAAGGACTCTAAAAATTGTTGCTCATTGCTTAGAATGGCATACGTCCAATATATTCACAATTGGCAACAGAGTCCAGAGTATTACAATATTATTGCTGCTACTGTAATGAAAAGAAATGAGGTTGTGATGATAAATTTTCACATTAAGCTGCAGGGAAAGCTACTTCATTTTACCAAGTACATTATTTCGTAGCTTTGTCATAAGCTTCAGGAAAATGAAAAACAAAGAAAAGTTGTCAATTCATATTTTCTCCTACAGAATCGGTGGATAGTAAAATAAAGCATGAAACGAGCTGGCTTTGGGTGACTTGGTTAAAACACATGTATCAGTTTGACCTGAATCAAGCTGCCTTGGTTTGTACTAGCTATCTGTAAAGGCTGACTGAATGAGATTCCTTTCATCATACAGGCACTGCTACCCTTGCTGCAATAGTAGAGGCACACTTTGACAGCCAGGATAGCTACAGATGACAGACAGCTCTTGGGTAACTGAAAAGGAATAATAGTTTCACAGGAAACATCCTTGATTTCTCCAGATAGATGCTGTCCTTGAAGCAACCAGGTATTATCTGTAAAGGAAGAACAAGTTTTATCATTAGGATATTTAACACCATGTCTGAAACCTACAGAAAACATTAATTTTGCCTACAGGACAACATGGACTTTCTTTCCACATGCAACATTAGGGGAAATTTCCTTCCTGATTTTTCCAGTTGTGGAAAAAAAAAATCTGAAAAGTAATTTACAGCTGCTTCTGTCACGGTCATTTAAAGGTGAAGAGATCCATAGCTTTGCTTCAGAACTACAGTCATACATACAGTACATCTTATTTAAATGCAATGGATCTGCAATTTGTCCTACATGCTCTTCAAAGTGTAAAATTTATTCTGAGATATGCAAGCAAAACCCTTTAATTTAATGGGCTGCTAGACATTTGTATCAGAGGTCTAATACTCCAGGTAAGGTATCTGCCATAAATGCGTAAAACTGGTTAAATTATGGCATTCCCAAAGAGAAGTGTTGGTTTTACGTGTGTTGCTGCAATTCAGCAACACTCAGGCTGACTGTTACAACAGAACTTGAGTTTCACATTTATTTAAATATTTTAAAGTATGTGAAGTGAAAAATGAACTGCATAATAAATGTACCTAGTTCATTGCATTGTACTCTGCATTCTACTGTAAGTGAGACGGATGAAGTGCTCTTTTTGGCATTTTTCAGAAAATACTTAAAAGTTGGCTCTAGAATTTATGAGCTTGAAATGACTTTTTGAGCTCAGGTTGCTTGCATTCTCCAATTTTACTATCACATATATCTTTACTTCAACACTATTTGGAGATTCTGTAGGCCAGAAAGTGTGCCGATTCTCCTGGAAATAGTCTATTTTTACTCCAAAAGCACAAACTGGGATGAGAAACTACTTTAAATCATGAGGCATATAAACAAATTGCAGTGTCTGCACAGTATTTGTTGATTGTTTTCAAAAGCAATCAATTTAATTAAGCTACCACACGGACACTTTGAAAGCTGGCCAACAAAAGACAAGTCAGAAGATGAGGACATGTTTACTTTCAGATCAGTTTAACTGCATCTGCAAGCAGGGATAACTATTATCAACTATTTAACATTGTAAAATCCAATATGGCATGTAAATTCAGCCAGAGAACAATTACTAAAAATTAGTAGAATTTTAAAATCTAGCAGCATTTCTAAAAATAAAAGTTTTCCAATGCAGTGCAACAACTAAGTGAACATAGCTGAAATAAAAATGTTCTCTTTATTGCTTTCAAAAAATCTGTTGAAGGTGCAAACGATGCAATTTCAACATCAAAAACTTGACACGGAAACTAAACAAAATGACATTCTAGGCTCTTTTCTAAAAAACTGTTTAGCAACTCATTAAAAAGCTTTCCTTTCTCTATACCAGCTTAGTGGGCATCTTGTTCACTTCCTCCAAGAGGTAACACCCTGTACTGTGCAACAACTACTTTAGGGTGCCAAGAGTTTAACAGAAAATGTATTGATAAAGTCAGAAATGTCTCTCAGAGTCCGAATGCTACGTGTCCTCCCTCCACCTGCAAGAACACTAGTTTATAGTAGCAGTTTTACTCAGGCACACAGCACCTACTCTAGGATACTGTTGAGAAGTATTGACACTCAAGTGAGATAAAAAATTCTCTCTGAGAGTGTAAAGGTATTAAAGCAAATGAGTCACACCCGAGTAACCCAATAACCAGGCAAAACTGTCTCAATCGACAAAGAATGTGAAAAATTATGGGTTAATTTGTATATTGGTTTTCACACAGCACTTCCAAGGGCACCGACAGATTCTCCCTTTTGAGTAGAGCGAGACCATTGGAAAGGACTGTTTCTGAACACCCACTAATGATCAGCCTGTGCAAAAAGGCATTTCAGACAACCTTGCTGGTTTTGTACTGAAGAGAATTTTAGGGAACACTCACACAGTCTATTCTACCAGTTATGTTATGGGCACAGTAATCTCCAGCGTAAGGATGCCAACGGTGGCTAGAATTAAACCACTGCAGTCACACATCATGTGCATGTTTCACGTGCTCTTTCAGAACACTTAAATGTTGAGAGAGATTAATTTAGGCTCAGGAAAGTGCCGTAACATTAAATAGTATTTCCATTATTCCAATATAATAATAATATTCCCATTTCACAGTAACCAAGCTACACAGTGACTGAAAGAGTTGACAATGGTCACACAGGAAGTCAGCAAAAGAACTTGCAAGAAGTGTCAACCATTTCTGCTGCCTTGATATACCATAATTTACTTCTTACATAAGAAAGTGTGCCTTATTATAGAAACGTTCAAGCAGAAATATAAAACATGAATTATAACAAAGTAGGTTCAAAGTAGTTAGGTATAAAAGTACATCAAATACTTCTTGGAAGAGACAAAAGCAAAAAAACCCAAATCTCTTTCAGGAATATGCTTCAGCTTCTTGGTGAGCTTTCTCCCAGAAACAGATGTTAGGGCTGGGATAAGCTGTTCATAGAGACAGAGTGGAGAGGGCAAGCATCTAAGGAGCAAAAAGCTTGACTGTTCTGGGATCAGTACTTTTGCAAGCCCTTACTGGCAGCTTGTTCTGAGAAAGTAAAAAAAAAAAAAATAATGCAGTATGTATTAATTCAAGCAAAAAGCAGCCTATCAAGTGTGGGTTTTTTTAATCTTCTGACTACAACCGTTAAATGTATCAACTCTAAATAACATGTATTGCATCACAAAGTCAAATGGGAACACAGGGACATTTTGATTCACCAGACTGAAATCCCTTGTATTGCTGGCACGTCACGTCATGATATAACCCACCCTGTCTCTTACCTACTCCTGTCCAACTGATAAAACAATGCAAGCACTTTACCTTCTGCTGTGATAAACCAGGTATTGGGTGCTTCTTCATTCAGTTTTGAATCTGGAGGAAGAGTCAACTTTAATAAAAACTGAACCATCTGGCCAGGAGCTACAGTAAGTGAAGGAAGTTGAACATTTGGTGCAGATTTAGGCAGTTTTGGCAGGTTTATTTTATCCATTTGCACAGGCACGTTATCTGGAACATCACATGCTTCTGGATTCAGGATAGGCAACTATCAGTAGAAACCAAACAAAATATTTATTTTTATTTGTACTGAAAGCAAATAGGCTTTCACAATACAATCGCAGTTTCAAAGCTGACATAACCTAGGAAAACTAACACATGATAATATGGCTATTGGACTAAAACTTTCTGACGGAGTCCAACAATACTACAGTGACAAAGAAAAAGGGGAAAGACAAAATTATTTTTGTAAATGAAAAAGGTAAAACTGATTAATCCAAATAAAAATAATATTTGCTGTTAAAATCATAAAATCTGCAACTACTTTAGAGTATCCACTACTTAAGAGTATCTTTTAATTTAACATTTTAACAATTGCATTATATTTTTACTTTAAATAAAATTCATATGCATTTTCTTCCAATCTGGTGGCAAGCCGCATGCTTTGGTAATAAAATTAAAAATAAAAATAAAAAAGATTTTAACCATGCAGATTGCACAGTAAAGTAAAGGATAATTTCCCAGAAAAGCCATCAACATGTTATATGATAGGAAAATTTAAACACACATTAAGATTGTGTACTATTAAATGCAAGAAACATACAAGAAGACAGGTGGAACATTATGGCATATATATATGTATATACATATGAAAACATAAAGACATAGTGCCATTGTAAGATGGACAGCAGCACAAATTTGTTTTGCCTTCATGTTTATAAGCAAATACAGCAGTGCTCAATTATGACAGTGGTTTTGATTTGACAACTTGGAAGCCTGCTATGAATCTCGCTTTAAGTCACTGACCTCCCAAAATCATCTCTTACCCCAGTTAGCAAGTGTTCATGAAATACTCTTCATAATGAAAAACTGGGCTGTATTTTTTAATAACTCGTGTTTCTGTATTGTTCTTTCCTAGAGGATCATCACTTTCTGTTGTGATGGCAGAATTTGCCTTTCCAAAGACTAAGGCTTTCAACAACTGTGCTAACAGGCAATGTTTATTTGCCAGATCATCGGAAAACATTCTGTGACTATAGCTACTGTATTCAAAAAGTTTATTAGCTATATGATTTTAATATCACTTGCCAAAGTCTGTAATAGTAATTTATATCAAGAAACACCACTATCAGCCTGTTTAATAAGTATTACTTGCCATGGAAAGAATTTTTGTTTCCAAATCCAGCACTTTAATCTGATGATTATTTGTGTCTGCAACATACATCAAGCGGCCATTTTCTTCAACACACAAACCTCCTGGTTCATTAAAAGTCGACTGTGTAAAGCTGGAACCAGTAACATTGCTTGCTTCTCCTGTGCCTGCCAGGGTAGCACAGTTCTTCATCTTGGGATCTACAACCTTAATCTAACATAAACAAAGACACAAAAAAAATTCTCTGAAAAAAATCCACCAGGATTTAGAAGTTCTGCATTATCTTATGCCCCACGTTTTCAGAAGCATGCACTAACTTTGAGTACCTTAGCTGTCCTAGAAGCTAAGTTATCATACTTTACCAAATGACATCTGCCATCTTCCCGCCCACCCCATTGTCTGCTGGACTTTACTTCTTCCTTTGGTCTTCATTCAGAATTCTCTTTCAGAATTTCGAAGGCACCTACCCCTCTGGTATAAAAGTATGTCGAATGGTTTGTTTCTCTATGTTTGTTGCCCTTCTGGAAATGTTTGTAAAATAGTAAGAGCACAACAAAACTGGCAAGCTAACTTCTATATAATTTTTTTTCTAAAAATAGGTAAGGTTTTTTTTTCCTTGAAGTAATAGCAAAAAAGTTTATAGTGTTTTATACAATACCTGAAAGAAAATTTCATTTGCCACATAAATTTCAATAAGCATATAGTGTTATAAACTTTATTCTTCAAATTAAACAAAATTGCTTTTCTTTTAATGCATTTAATCAATGTACAGTTAACAATCCTCTAGACCTGAAGGCTTATACAACATCACATAAGAACAATAATGCAAAACAATCTCTCTTATCTCAGACTTCCACAGAGACAACCCACAATACTTCTCAAAACTTGGGTGGCTTTTTTAAGGGAAAAGCAAGTCCTCTTGTTCTCACAGTTTTATCAAACCTGCAGTACTCCTGACTAAGCACTCCTAGCTCTTTTGCTCGTGATCGGCGTCTTCAGAAAGATATAAAGAAAGGGTCTTTAGTCTGAACTTTAACTTGGCACTTCAAATTCACCTTCCCAGGGGACCATCATATCAACACAGCAGCATATGACAGCAAAACAATGGTAAAGAGAAGGACCCATAAGGGAAGGAAGGAAAGAAAAAGAACTCACAAAGGAACTTGTATAATTTGTTTCCTCAGTTTAACTGAACCACGGACAATCTTTGTATGTTCCTAAAATAACCCTTTGCAGTAGCGAAAATTGTGAAGCCAGTATACAACAGGCTACTATATGCTTACCTTATGATTATAGGAATCTGCCACATAGAGTAGCTTTCTTTTCTTGTCCCATGTTACTCCTAAGGGATGCTGTAGCTTTGCATTTATGCCGGCTCCATCCACATCACCAAAGGCAAACAGATTCTGAAAAAGTATTTTATTGAATTAATACATTTGATTATTCAATGTTGACATCAATTTAAATGATTGTACTTAAATGGAAATTCACTGACTTAAAAAAAATTTAAAAAAAATCAAGAAAACTGCAAAACAAGGATACTGAAAACTGGGAAGTGTGGATACTAACCATGGAAATGGAAAGTCTCACATTTAAGTTATCAATATGAATCTAGCTGGCTTTAATGACTACACAATGGTGAATCAAATCTGCTATTTTAAAAAATAAGTGAAATTTTTATGTGAGGAACAACAATCTGCACTACAACCTGACCGTCACAACTGGCACACATTTGCATTCCAAGCAGTGAAGTTAAGAAATTGATGGCCACAGAAACTGATTTACCCTCTCACCCCAAAAGTGGTTCCTCCAGGTCAGGCTTGAGGAATATTAGTAGGGCAGTGTGGGGAAGTTTGAAGTGATTACCAATGGATCTCTCTCTCCTCCTACAAGGTGCTTCACTGCTCCGTCTTTCAGAGAGACAGTTCGCAAAGTGCTGCTCTCACTATCCGCTACAAAAAGGCAGTTCCATGGTTCCTCGGAAGCCAGAGAGAGACCCGAAGGCTGTGCAAAGCCTGCCTTATGGGGATACGCGTTGTTTCTGTTCTCTTCATTTCCACTCCCAGCGAACCGAAGGCAGACTCCTTTCTTTAAATCACTAACAGAAAATAGTACCCAAGTTCAAGAATGAGTTTGAAATACTTCAGACATTATGCATAAACAGAAGCTACAGGACAAGCACCTGTGAGTTACAAAACCAACTATACTGCAGCACAAGGAATTACTCAGTGCCTTTGTGCTAACTTTTATTTCACCTCAGTTTATCATTCATCACTAGATAATTCAGGAAATGCAATGAAAAGTAACATTCAGTTATATGAATGTACCTTATCAAGTCATAGTTTTATAGCAAAAGCAGCATCTTTCATTTCATCTCACTGATGAGGAAGAAAGCAGGCAGACTCTAAAGGACATATGCCTTTTAAGTCTGAACAGAAGCAGCAAGCATTGAGCCAAGCACAGGTTGAGAAAAATTACTTTTAGTATAATTTGATTATCTCTCTCTTTGGGGTTTTAAAGCTGTTTATCAAGACAAACAACAATTTCGCATGTCTCATTACAGCTGCTTACCTTCCCTTTGGTAGTTTTCCACTTTCCAACATCAGGGCCCATACCTGATGAGTGCCTGCCATTGCTATCCATAAAACATCCTGGGTCCCTGAAACTTTAAAAAATGGATATATAACCACAGATAAAAAAAAAAAAAATCTTTGGAAATGTTTTATAAAACAAAGAAATCAACACACCAACCCTACCATCCCCCCTACTCCAGCTCACCTTCTGCCATGGGGAAAAGAAACAAACCATCAAAAAACAGAGAAAAAGGGGAGGGGGGGGGGGGGGGGGGGGACAGAGAGAGAGAGAGAGAGGGAGAGAGAGACTGTCTTTCATCTAGCAAGTACTCTGCTATTTTTTTTCTGTACTCCTCCCAAGAATATAAAAAATGTGCTTTCAAAATCCCTACCTGGTAAAGGCAATACTTCAAATGAGATTTGCTCTTTGCAACACTTTGTATTTGGTCCATGTTTTTGATTCATACTGACCAAGAAATATGTATATATCTTTGCTAGGCATAGGGTTTGGATAGGTAGGGGCGGGTGGGTTTTTTTTTACCAAGCTAGTGACAAAATTAGATATTCCAAAAAACTACAGGCAATTGTATACAGGTTTTGAGAGAAATAAAAATAGCAGTACCTTAGTTACATTAGGTGCAGAGTACATAATGTTTTTAAGATCAGGGTAACTGATGCTTGGATGTCAGGTATATTTACGCTCTAGAGAGCAACAACTGCTGTTTATTCAAAGATCAGGTGTGATGTGGGCAGTTACTAATTTCCCCCTGCACTAACCATCCAGTTTCCAAGTTGTACTCTCTATGCACATGTACGTGTGGTATCACAAATGTGTTATCTCAGAGCATAAAACTGCTGTTCACCAACCCAAATCTGTAAAATTACAAAAGGTTTGCCCAGATAATACTTCACAAATAAAATGATACAAAAAGAAAGAGAAAAACATTTAAGTGCTCTATAGCTTTAAATATATCACATTACAGTATAACAAAGAATGCACAGACAAACAAATCCAAAAGAAATTTACTTATCTTGGTCTTTTCTGAAAATTTTAAGGACTAGAAAGCTGACATTTAAAACCTGCACTGAAATGGGGACACTATTATCTTTCTAACACTGTGCTAGCCTATACACATTGTATACAACTGTCCCATCTAGTCAGAGACAACATTAAGATGTTTTTCTGAATGAACATATCAGGTATTGGAATAACTATCAGTCAGTCAACAGAAAAAAAACTTTAAATTGCTCACAGAAACTTTTTATTCACATGAACTTATAAAGCACTACTCATCTCACAGCTTTTTCTGCAAACAATCTAATGGATACTGCCCCCCTCCCCTGCTTTTCAAGTTTCAGAATAAAAGCAATTATATCCAAAATGCTTGCAAGCATTTTAAACCTGAGAAGTTAGCCCAAATCAATCTTTCTAAAATGAAATTACTACTATTCCCCTAACTGAGATCCTGCTGTTCTTCTAATCCTAAACCTTTCTTACATTACACACTTGCAAGACGTGGGGAAAAGAGCATCCTTTCATCTCCAGAATCAATTTCCTCATACTGTGAGCCCTCTTCAGAATCGTACTGGTATGATTTTAATGCAGTTTATTTTCAGCCTTTTTTGTTTCTCGGATCAAGACACATGCTTCCAAGACTGTGACCAAAGGAACTCTGCTGACTCTCTCCTGCACGTCCACGCGGCTCCATGTTTTGATGCAAACTAGAGCTCCGAGAATAAAAGTCAAACTTCCAAAGCACCTAAAAACTTTCTGTTGAGCAGGAAGGCTTGCAAAATGAGTTGGAAAACACACGTTTTATGAGTCACCAGAGATGTTCCCACAGTACTGGCAATGCCAAAAACACCCCAATTAAAAAAACTCACAACACTACAGAATCACCTTGGATTGGAGCTTGTTACTAAGAGATTTAAATAGAGAAAATTCATTTCACTACTTCCTATATCACACATGTTCAACTTCAGGACTTTATGTTTCCATGATGTGTATCTTGTTCTTCTCAGATGCTACTGTTCTGAGTACCCCAGAATGAACAATGCTAAAATCACAGGTCAATTCAGAAAGTGAGCTTTTTATCTTGCTATGCTGTGCAGTTCATTCTAAGGGATCTCAAAAAGTGATTCGTTAATTATTTAATATTAACTTTATCCACCAGTGAAATGAAGGAGTAAGACTAGAACTGAGCACTTTAGAAAAATTTATTCCATTCTTCATCTACCCAATACTCTAATTCCACCCACTGAAAACTCCCTTGTGACAGCTGTATGTTGAAAAATGGAAAAAGTTTCTTACTCTAATTCTGCACACTGAAAGGCTTACCAAACATGAGACGTAGGAAAAAGTATCAATATTAATATCAAATTTTACTGAATATATAAGATCAACAGAGAGATCTTTTCTTCAACTAGAGAACAAGACAGGAAAAATAACTAAGAGCTCCATAACCATCATAAATTTTAATGCAACTTAAATATTTTCTAGTGAATGGCAATTAGAATAAAGAGAATGGATGCCTGCATGGAAACAGCACAAACATACTGAATTGTCAAAAATATGTCAGAACTTTAATAAAAAAAAGTATACAAAACCAGAAAAGTAAAACCAATGCCTATAGTGGCACAGCTAAGGTATTTTATCACACAACGGTCCTGGCACTGCAGAGTTTAATGCTTTATGTTCTGAAGCAAAAGACAGAAAAACCTCATCTTAGAGGACAGAGCAGTTTAAGGACATGTCACCATTGTCATCCTTGTACTGTTCTCGTAGGAGCAGGGAGAACCAGCATGCTAAAATTATGGTAACGCCATCATTATCATAACTCCTTATCATCCTTGAATGGAAAGAATTTATTTTTAAAGAATTTATTATAAAACAACATAAAAGAACAAAGCAATTCTTTCACATTTATTCAATTAAGCACCACATTCCAACCTGTCTTGAGCTGTTTTAAAAATCCAGTGTAGTTTCTCCTTATTAGGGTACGCGCTTTCTTATCTTTAGTGCTGCCTGTATCAAAGCACAGCATGGCTTGCAAATGGGATGCACTTATGTTATGAAGATGCACTAACAATGAACTAGAGCTTTGGATGCACTGGTGTTCCACATTATACAACGCTTCAGTTATTATATGACGATCCAGTTCCTGATCTGCCTCTGATATGCATCTGTGTTTTAAGAATTTACAGTCCTGTTTATACACATACGCAACTTTAAACAGTCCAGTAATACTGGGAGTCAATCTGAACACACAGAAAAGACTTTATTCTGTACCAGTCAACAGCCACATCTGTTTGAAGAGATTCCATTCCCAGGACTACTCACACTTCCACCTTCCCTGTTTGAGGACTGCATGCTTTCCTCCAATCTGGGAATTAAAAGCTTAGGAATCAAAGGTATATTTTGCGGCTGGCATCACTGACATTTTCTAAATAGACTGAAGTTTGAAAATATTATTTTTGTCTACTAATTTTATCTTTAAAAAAAGCAGTACCAAGGAAAAAGCCTGTTGGTACATTCATTCTCCGTAAAAACACAAGAGGCAAAGAGGGGTATAGAACATGCCCTCTGGTTTACAGACAGGCACACTGTCTATGTGCACATGTGAATCTCTTAATTCATAGAATTAATTAATTCATAGAATTCAGTGGAAGTTTAGCAAATTAAATCCAAATCTGACTGACAGAACAACTGGAAAACCATTGTTCTTCTTCAGTGAGACAAAGAGAGCAAAGCCCCAAAGGAATGCTTTAGCACTGTAAGTCTGGACTGTTACAAGTACACGTCATTCTTTTTGGAGGAGCAAAAATTAATTTTCTTTTTTTTCCCTGTGCTGCCTGACACTCCTTCACATAGTGCTGCATCACTCAAAGAGCATAACCCTTTACGAAACAAAATGCTTCTGGAATGTTTCTCCTTAGTTAACATACCTGCCCTCTCATCAAGGGAAGTCCTTGGACATAGATACCAAGAGGATGTCACACAATGCGAGATAATAGAGAGCTAAAACCGATGACTATCACGAAATATTTTCTCTTTCTTTCCCAAGTTTTCTAACTCAGGCCTTCTGACTGTAATGGCAGTAAATACTTAAAAAAAATCTAAAGTAGAAGTGATAGCATTTGTTAACATGAAAGAACTAATTTAGATTATTTAGTGTTGGGATATATCACTATAACTACAGAAAAAGCTAAGTCTCGTTATGTGTTTTATTCATTCCTATTTAAGCACAGCAAATACATACACTTGAGGGTACTTCAGCACTGCAGTCTACCCTGACCCTCAACACCCACATTCCATATTCAAAACCACTTTCAGCATCAAATGATAATAGTAAAAGCTATGTTTTTAACAAATGCAGTGTGTCTGGAACAAAGAGAATGAGAAATCATCATTCCAGGTACAAACACAAATAATTTTTTATAGAGGGCATCTCAAGTCATGGCTTTGAAAAGGTTACTAAGTTTGACACCTGTTAAGATGGTAACTCTGCTAATCCAAATGTTTCTTTTTACTGCAGAAAGTCATCATCATCATCATCATCCATTTCGTCAAGAGGTAGAGAAGTCCAATTTACTGGAAAATTAGTCTGTCAAACTAAATCGTGTGGGATTACTGTTGGATATTCAGTCATAACTCTTTTATACATCCTTATGCTAAGAATTTAGTCTTTGTATGATTCTGTCAAAGGCACATTTATACTAAGTTACTAATGTAAATATCTTATTTCTTGACCTGTTTCTATAGTGAACATGTGAAATATCAGTAAGTTTTGTTGCTCTTATTATTCAGCAATACCATAAACTCCTTAATCTCTTAGTTTTGGCTTGGAATACAGAATCAGAGTATTCAGTCAATAGTTTAACTGTGGTCCTGTAGAGCTAAAGTCTACTGGGCTGATCACACAAAAAGCTACTAATTCTGAAAGTTTATCCCTCCTCGGTTTTCTCTCAAATGTTTAAAAGAAAAACAGAAATCCCAGTTCAGAGGTAGGAATGAAAGCTGCTTAGGGGTGACAGAACCCAGACATAATACTCTCAGACATTTGAAAACTTCAGTTAAATTTATTTGTCCCTCTCTGTGATTCTGCCAACAGCACGAAGCTGGCTGACCCACTCAGACAATACACAGAAGACGACAGCGTGCTCCAGAAGCCCTCCCAAAGCAAGACAGAGTAACGACCTGCTTCACTGCAGTTCTTCACTGTAACTTCTTAATGTCGTATTTCTCAAGAGACTTTTTCTCCTTAAACAGGTCTTACACAAGAACTAAACCCCATAATAAGTCTTCCACTTCAGCCTTATCTTTAAGAAGTTACTTTTTCTTTGAAATTTCAAATATTTTAAATAAAAATAATTACCATTTACAAGTACATTAGGATCTAGCTCAAGAAGAGATGACACACAATGCTGTTTGTGTCAATGATGTCTCGTAACATTATCTTCTGAACTTGTATGATGGCAGATGTAGTTCAAAGCTCAATGAGGTATCTCTGAGTTTTTCCTTTGCATAGGAAACTGCTATAAAGAGATGAGGAGGCCTTTTGTATTTCAGGTAAATCTACATTGGTGTATCATGGAGTTGTATTACATATGCAACACATGTTTAGAGTAATTCAAATTTTGAGTTGTCCAGAAAAATGATTCCTAATTAATCCCTGATGATCACAAAAGCAACTCTTATTTTCAGCTATTACCACGGAAAATTCCTTACACAGGACAGTGAAGGCTAGAGTCTCAATGCCAGAACAAGACCAGACTAGAAGGAAAAAGAAAAGAGATGTGCAGAAAGCATACTTTAAAGATACAGACAGTTTAGACATAAACAGTTCATGTATGGCCTGAGCTCATCCATGAAGTGCTAATTGCTTATTGCTGAAGTGATTATTGCTTTATTTTTTTTGTAAAATTAGTAATTCAGAAAAAAAAAAGTGTTTCCTCTGGAATGCAGTGGTACTAAATAATCCTCTAGTAGAAACATGGGGAGAAAAAAAAAAAAATCTTACATACTTTTGCCTTTTAAGGGCTATAAAAATTGTACCAGTATGATAAGGTACTGTACTTTCATTTAAATATTATCTATGTAAAGCCTAAACTGACGTAAAAATTTCCAACTAGTTTACTGAAAGCATGGTCAATACTGTACTTGGGAGTTTCTATAAATAGATTACAATCATGCAATTTAAGACCAGATTTTGGAATGTGAAACACACAGTTATGTCACCAAGCACTGGTCATTGCCCTGTTCCTTCCAGCAAGAATGCAGCTATCAAGAACATTTCACGCTCAGATCAACTGTGTGTTTAAGTATCACTTGCTTTCAACACCCACTGAATAAAAATAGAAGGAGAGAACAGAGAAAGCTAAAAAAACCACACAGCAATTTAATAATGTATTTTTAAGCTGCTGGCCCTCTCCCTGTATTTCCTGCACAATTTATGTCAATGCAAATTTCAGCACCAACTTCAACAAAACCAGAATTTAATCCATGGAGTTCATTCAAGAATTTCAAAGGTGGAGGGTAAAACACAAGCTCAGTGGCCACAATTAAAGAAATAAAAGAGATGAAAAGGAAGACTACTGTCTTCCTGAATCCTAGTACCGGTTTTGTCTCTATTAACTCCCCTGCCTTAAAGAGAGACATTTGTGCCATCTTTCTTTTAAATGGTATTTCACAGCCACTTAACCTCTCTGCCTCAGACTTCAGCATCTATATAAAACCGGAAAACAAAAGCCTATTATCTCACAGAAATACCATAAGGATGCTTAAAAGCATTCTACTTAGTAGCATCTATTCTGAATATTAACTTATCTGCACCTTCATAAACTTTTTTTCTCAATATTTTTATTTCACAACAAACTTTACATTAAAATTTTAAAATGCAAACAATGAAGTTTGATCAGTACATACTCTAAACTGTATGTAGCAGTAATCTCAAGAAATATAAGTGATACAGAAAAAAAAGTTTTTCTTAAGACATAAACTTTCCCTTTAAGACTGAAAAAGGTCAAACCTTTCCCTTCGAGACTCTGAAAAACGTCAGCATAAGCTGTTAAATACTATCTAGTGTAGTACATAAACAGCTTAATCATTTAAACTTCTTTTTATCTCACTTTCATGGTCTGGATAGCATGGCTTTGGACGTTGAAAGGAAACACAAAAGCATCACATTTAAAAACTATAAAATCCTTAAATCTATCTTCTGAAAAGCAAAAATGCTTTTTGTACAGAGTAAAGCTACACAGATCTAAGGAAAATGGGAGAGTAAGACATTATTTCCCATACACCATGCCAGTTAACACAAAAGTCAAATTTATGAATTTCGTAATAATGAACCGAAGTTGTTGAAATGTACGTTACCTCGTGCAACTTGCACAGAGATACATATAAGCATATGTAAAAAGCAGGCACTGCTGCGCGGATGCGAACAAAAGTAATTCTTGAAACACTCCCCAATGACTTCATCCATCCAAATGGATGAATAAACACCATCATACCAGTTTTAATATACTGACAACAGAGTATCTACTTATAGGACAGCACACTGAGCAGACACCAGCAGAAGGCTGCGTCTCTGCCCAGGACAAGGAAGACTTCCTACAGACCTGTGCTTCGCATGCACTTACTGAGTAACAAAGGCACCCTGCCACAGCCTGGACAGTGACACAAGGCCGACCAGGCTCAGGCCATTTGCAGTAACAATACAACTTTGACAAACTCCGCTGCAGTGTTGACACACAATTTTGATGTCTGGCAAGAAACTTAAAGAAGCAATCACTGCAGCTCATGATCACCCCTGTGCTGCACGACAAATGCACTGCAGACTACAAGACACTCGCCTGGCTCCTCACGCTCTGGGACGGACTCCTGTCAGTACTGTACTCCATATATCCCTCTGTTCCGACAACTCTCTTTGGTTATAGTTCTAGAGAGTTTTATGTAGCTATTAGAGTAATTTACATTTTTCCTAGCTTACTTTACTCACAGAAAACTGTATAAATAAATCTTAAAAAGAAACTGAAAGCACACTCTTCTCCGTACCTCCCACCTTATCTATTTGGCCTATTACTCTCTCAAAGAAGGTATTTAAATTGGTTTAATGCATTCTTAATTGACAGGTTATATTATATTTTGTAGAGATATAAAAAGACAACTAACCAGTAGGTTCTAATTGAATATGAAAAAAATCCATACTGGTCTGAACAGAGTGCATTCAGAAGATCTGGTTCTTATGTAAATGCTTCTAAAAATTCAGCAGTCAGTGTTGAACAGTGCGGATGACTAATACCCTACAGGTGACTAATTAAGTGATTACTATATTCATGTTGATAACAATCATATCAAATAACATTTAACAAGCAGAGCTCTCAAAAATAAAAAGCATCAACAGATATTCAACTATTGGCAGAAACAGAAGAAAGCATTATGAAAAATGAAAAGTAAAATTATGGGATATTTTGAATAGTTCTGTTAACAAGCTTAAGTTTCTGAAGCGCTGATGAGTTACTAGCCTCCTCCTTTGCTCATCTGCGAAACAGCTCTGCAATAGCATCACACCAAGATCAGCTTGCTGGTTCAAGATACCTTGGAGAATATACCACCTAGTCACACAACAGTCTGCCAGTTCACAAAAAGAAAATCAGATTGGATAAAATTCAGCAAAACTCATGCCTTCATTAATAGCAACCCACATCCAGTGAGATTCTCTTTCAGGTACTCCTCGTTTCTCTCGCAAGTAGGATTCCATATGCTTAACACAGACTGCAAGGATCATAGACAAAGCGTTTCAAAAAAGTGCCTTCTATTTTTTCGTAGAAGGTATGTTACTAGAAGCGTTAAATCTAAAAATTGATGTCGGTTCCTTATTTAAGTCATCAAAGCTGCAGGTGGTGCACTGCCTATACTGACAATGTATTTGTACCAGAAGACTTCCATACAACCAGCACTTATGAACTAGCCCTCTGTTCCCTTAAACTTAATTTGAGTGTGTCTTCCTCCCATGTAACTGATCCAAGATTATATCAAACGCTTCCAGGTCAGTAAAATGTTCTAATTTACTAATCTGGCAAAGCACCTCTAATTTAAAGATATCAGACATATCATTCTACTTCCTCACCCCATTCATCTGCACATTCAAGAAATCCCAATATTGGAAATCAATTTTTATGCCTGAAATACTGATGTAAGTGTTTTACACTACATTAAAGCATTGTTCTGACATTGTTAAGATCCTGACATCTGCAACTTCTAAATTATATTGAAATGGAAGCATGAGAAAATAAGAGTATCAACTCGCAGTTAGTAAACGGAAGTTATGCGATGTCAAGCTCAGGTGTGTGTTAAGTGAATCAGGAAAGCAAGCTAGCTAAATTCTCAGAAGCTGATTCTTATATCTTATTATGGAAAGATTTTATTTTCACCCCCTGATGCTTGCAAGGTTTCTTCTGAGGTATTCCTCTCCTGTCTGATTGACTCTATCATGATCTTAACGATTTTACATCACCTAAACAGGAATAAACAGAGGTCCTCAACTAAAAGTATTTTTATTTCCTAAACTCAAATATTTACAAATAGTCAGGCATGTCTGTATAGTCAAGGAAAGGAACTTCTGGACAATGCCCACTTCCTGTAAAATGTAGCTGCTTCTTAAGTGATCCTGGCATAAAGCACTGGCCTAACAAAAGCAACCACAATTTCCTTCTGTATTTGGACCCAGTAACTATATAACTTACTACAAAAGAATTTTTCGTCACCTCAAGTAACAGTTCACATTTTTTCAGGATCCAAAGCAGAACTGCAGTTATCACTTGTAAATGAAACCACTGTTTTTTAGGCTCAGTTGTAAAACAAGTCTTTACTTTTTCACATCTCAGATTATTACCAAAACAGGAAAACATTTAGCAAATGGTCATGTATGGGTAAACATGAGATGTTAAAAGCTCAACTGATTCGATACCTGAATTCCCGATGACCACATCCCACGGAGAGCTGATAGGTTGCTCTTCACCTTTTGCTCCACCTTCCTTATCAACACCTTGTATCCCAATGCCTGCTACAGTGGTCACCATCTCTAATTCCAGGTCAATCTACAAGAAGCAAAATTATATACATTGAAAGCACAACATTAACTTGAATGAAGTTACAGATCATGTGAGCTGGATGTCAAAAACAGAGTTTTTCCTGACAAATGAAAAACAAAACCTAACAAATTTCAGGTATTTGTTTATGTAGCAAAATAATTAATCCTACCACAATGCTTGCTGATCTGGGGGCAGAAAGGAGGGAGCAGTGGACAGCAGGAAAACCATGTGCCTGGAACTCTCTTCCACATGCAATAAAAAAATAACACTGCTCTGTCAAAGTGCGCTCAGAAGTTGTAGTAGGAAGCATGAAAACTTTCTAGAGGAATACTCAGATGGATAACGGATGTGGATGTTTTATGTCATATTCTTATAGAAGTTTAAAATAAAAATTGAGAAACTGTACAGTATCTCCCATGTCTATATAAAATAATCTGTACAAATCAAATTATTTTTGCAGTTTATTTCATGTCCTGGAGCAAAAAATGTTTTTATTTTATTTCAATTCTGCAACCTAAATCTCTTTAGTTTTCCTTCCTCTTTTGCTTATTTTCTAAGTGACCTCCAATACCTCTCATAAGTTTAACGTGATGTCATGTAAAAATGGAGTCTTTCACATATAACATCTTCTATCATTTGTAGCAGTAAATGCATTGTTTTTGCAATGCCCATTGTCTGCACAAACATTTGAACACATGTCCTGTAGCTGCTGTATTATTTTAATTCTTGGATACCCTCATGGCATTTTTAGATGAAAGGAACAGTTAATTATCACGAGAAATACTGAAGCAGTATGATCCAGATTTTCAGATGTCTCTCTGCTGTCTTTGCTACCTGCGACACTTAATTTCCTGTGGTCACCAGGCTACAGTCAGAAATACTGATAACAGAAGGAACCTGGAACAACCTACTTATTTTTAGTATCAATGTTTCTTTGCCAACAGGGAGCCTTGGTCCTTTCCAGAATAAAACCTGGTAGCCAACTACAATGAATCTACTTAACAGTACAAACACAGCCCAAATTGAGTAAGGATGTACCTCCTCTGATCATAAATCAGACGTATTGGTGAGGATCTGAGTACAAGACCTTCTGAGATGCATAGAATACTTTTAATAATAAGGTAATATTATATTGCTTCAACAAACTTCTGATTATTCTAAATTTGACCTAACCAAATGTAAGATCCAGTGACAATATATACAAAAAGTGACATTTCTATCTGCTAAAACTTGCAAGTGTTCAATAAAAAAAAATCCACACGTAGACAATTCTGAAATTAAAGCAGTTACCTGTACTTTGGAGATCCGAACAGCTAACAAAAGTTTAGGTATTCACTGAACCATAGTAGTACAATAACTTTAGATAAGAATCTGATACTACTGGCAGTGAAACAAAAGCAATTTTTGCTTCCAGTACTAAGAATAGATGTTTCTCATAACAGGAAAGTAAGAGTCACTAGAAAAAAAAAAATCAGCTATGCTTGAACGAGTAGCGTATATCATCCTCATTTGAAAGAAAGCACAAGAGCGTATGTGGTCCTTTAAAAAACAAACTGCGCAAAGCATTTGTTTGTAAGATATTGAGTCAAACTTCCTTCCTGATATTAAGGGTATTTGGAGAGTGATTAATTCAGTGTAAATTTTCACCTGTGTAAGTAGAATAAGGTATATAAGAGATTAAATTTCGAACTTCCTTATGGAAAATTTACCTTTCTAATTAGGTGATTTTCGGTATCAGCTACATAAATAACATTATTTTTTATAGCGATCCCCTGTGGTGAGTTGAAAGCTGCCTCTGAAAATCGTCCATCTCTCCTTCCACTCTTTGGACCTATAAATGAAACAAAGCCAACTCAAAAGTAATTTTAGAAAAAAACAACCTGAAAGTGCATACATTCAAACCTGCAAGAGAATTACGCATTCTAAGAGATGCTTTCACAGCACCTTGTACAGTTTACATCATTCATATTCTGTGTCATCTCATTTTAGTCACTGTGCTATGTAATTACAACAGCCTGGTCTATTAAGTTTTGAACTCGTTATCCACAAGTTCTCTGCTTCTTTAAGCTCATCTCCCAAAGAGAAGTCTCAATAGGGGTCTAAATTGCTCCTGTTCCCTGGCACTAAAGGACAACAGCAACAACAGAAGACAGAAATGAAAAAAACATCTTTTTTATTCCCGGCTGCATCGAAGTAAGCCAGCAGGAAAAACTTGAAATTCCAAAGCTCAATTCCATTTCAGTGGTTTAGATGTTGGTGTAATAACAAATGAAACTACTATTTGTTTAGCATCATTTTCTCATTAATAATAACAATTAGGAAAAAGACGACACGGAACTAATTACACAAAAGAACAATGACAACAGTGGAATGAGTGTTCTGCACAGAACAATCTAGAAATAGAAAGCAACATGACCTGAACATAACAGTACAAAGGTAAGCATCATATTTCAGAGGCAGTAACATTTAAAGTACATGAGCAGTATGTGTCAGCAGAAGACATTTAGATATACGAGTTACGTGTACGTATACGTATCATGATTTATGATGCAAATACAGTAATTACAACCTCTGTACCTGCCCACATTTATTACTGTATTACCAACCTCGTCACATTACTTTCTGCCCACTGAATCACTCAACTGAGTCACCCAAATCCACAATCCTACTGTCAGAAGACAACGTAGATCTTAACAGACATGAAGCACTGAGGTAGGTGCTGGTGTTGCCAGATTCCCGAAGCTCCCCTTGGAAGCGTCAGGGTGCACCTTCTCAGGGAAGGGAATAGCACAGAGTGCCACAGGAAGGAGGGGTACCAGTTCAGAGGTCAGGACACTTCCCTTTGAACTGCTTAGATTAATGACTATCTCAGATTACTAAAGGGTACCTGGTCGGCAGAAACTTCATCTCACATCTCAAAGAGCAACCAAATTCTCTCACTTTTGTCATAAAAAATCCTGTTTGTGCTTCGCATAGAAGAAGTGTATTAAGACTAGTGCCTTTATCAGGTTAACATGGATAATTAGTCTGTCTATCCAATGCACTGTTACTTCAACTAGCAAGAGATTTTCTTCCTTTCTTTGAACAGCAGTACCACGGGTGTTTTTATGAGGTTTGCAGGATTCTGCTGTGCAACAGGTGTTAGTTAATACCAGACTAAGTAACACAGGACACATCAGCCTAGAGGTCCTTATTCTGAGACATAAATGAACCACTGTTTTCAATGATTTGGGGATTCAACCACTTCCTAAATCTGTCTATTACGGTTGCTCATAGATGGATTGTCCTAACAGCTATGTACTTGGTGCATTAAGATATAATTTGACCACTGTAACAGATTAAAAAAAAGAATAAGTCTGAATGTTTCCTTTATGAAAGAGTAAAGCGCACAAAGAGTGTGCAAGTTCAACTAAATTTTCTTGATTTGCGTTGTAAAGCAGATCGTAATTTTACAAAAACAGTAAAAGGGATGGTTTTTAAAGCTGAAATGCTACTACTATAAACTTTGTAACAATGTAACTAAATTCAAAAAACTTTCACTATTTTCATAACTTGTTTATATATTACATCTCAGTTTCACTGAGAACACAGGCCTTAGCATATATAGAATCATAGAATCATAGAATCGTTAGGGCTGGAAGGGACCTTCAAAGGTCATCTAGTCCAACCCCCCTGCAAGGAACAGGGATATCTCCAACTAGATCAGGTTGCTCAGGGCCTCATCCAACCGGGCCTTGAACGTCTCCAGGGATGGAGCATCCACCACCTCTCTGGGCAACCTGTTCCAGTGTTCTACAACTCTCATGGTAAAAAATTTTCTCCTAATATCCAGCCTGAATCTACCTCCCTCTATTTTAAAACCATTACCCCTTGTCCTATCACAACTGGCCCTCCTGAACAGCCTCTCCCCATCTTTCTTGTAGGCCCCCTTGAGGTACTGGAAGACCGCTATAAGGTCACCCCGGAGTCTCCTCTTCTCCAGGCTGAACAGCCCCAACTCTTTCAGCCTGTCCTCATAGGAAAGGTGCTCCAGCCCTCTTATCATCTTCGTGGCCCTCCTCTGGACCCTCTCCAACTGGTCCATGTCCTTCTTATGTTGGGGACTCCAGAACTGGACGCAAGGCAATTTCATTTTCAGGTGCCTATGTAATAGTGCAATGCCACCGATAGTAATTCTCCCCTCCTCTAAAAACCAGAAGGGGATCCTATACAGGAATGCTCTTGATTTAAAAACAACAAAACAAAAAAATATACCCCCAAAAACCTCTCCACACACCACCACAATTTAACACTCATTTCTTCTATTGGAAAGGGAGGCGTTGCCTCATTTCCTTTCCCTGTCTTGCTGCTGTATGTGGATGTTTGTAATTTAAATCTAAAGCCATTTGCAACTCTTTCAGAAGAATACAAAATATACTGGGTAGCACAAAAATACAAAACTTGAGTCAATGGAACAAAGGGGATAAAGATTAGACATCTCAAACAGCTGCATTAACATAGTCTGTCTCTGATAGTACTATGCTATATCCCCCCATACCCAGTAAAAGTGATATTAGTAGAAAACCAATTTCTGGCAGTGCTTATGAACTGCTAAGCCCTCTAAGAAAATAGTCTAGTAGGCCCAGAGAACATACTCTACTCCTAAACTAAAATTACTATAATAAATTTATAAACCCTTACCTCCAATAGTGTGTAGAATCTGTCCATTTTTTCGAGTAACCAAAATCCTATGATGTCCAGTGTCTGCTATTACCAGCCTTTCTCCTGAATCATCTACAGTCACTTTGCCAGGAAAGAGCAGAGGAGAAGGTGGGAGGGAGTCTCTGTACAGTTTTATTCCAATGTTGTTATCTTTGATTTGTCCTCTCTCCTTGTAGAATTTCAGTGTTACAGAAGTGAATAAAAACAACTTCTCTCTGTGTCCCTCTCCAACAAGTGAAAAGAGCATATTTCCACGAGGTCCAAGAATGACCAGAGTTGGCCAGCAGGACACTTCCAGTTCATGCCACAGTGTTGCTTCTGCATCATTTACCACAGGGTGGACAATATTATACCTCAGAATGGCACTTTTAATGTTATCCAGAACTTTTTCGTTTGGGAATTTCGCTGAATGGACACCAACAATAATAAGACCATCTGAAAGGAAAAATAAAGTCCTGCATTGCAATATATTCATATTTGAACTGAAAAAAAATAAAAATGAAGCACAGTTATCTCACAACGTGACTGACTGCTTTGCAGAATGAAAGAGGATTTGAACAAACAAAAAGCAAAAAAATCTCAGTAGGAATATAGGTAGCTATGCGTACAAAATACTGAAACTCAGAAATAACATTTCCGTGAACTTTAGGACCACTACTTCCTCAGCTGGTTGATATTTATTTCGTCATAAATTGCTCTTAGTTCCTGAACCTCTACATATTAAGGTAGGAAATACTTTCAAAATAATTATGCGCAAGATGTAGCAGTGCAACTGATACTTAGGGGTTTTTTATCAGATGTTTATGACACCTCTTTGTCTTTTGATTCCTACAAACAACTATGGTGTTTTAGAAAATTAATTCTTTTCCACAGTTAACTAGGAATCACAAACGTAACACTGAACTCTGGTAAGTCCAGAGTTACGTTGGCATGTCTAACTCTAGATAAACAGTGAAAAAAAAAAGTATAGGCTTCTTAAATCAATACAGTATTGTATATTTCAAATAAAAATGGCAGCACTGACAACTATGACAAAATGACAAATAGCACTTGTTACAAACCAAGCAGGTTTGAACCCTTTTCCTTAAAAAAAAAAAAGAGGGGGGGGGAAAGAGGATTAAATCATTGACCATTGATTTTTGCTCTTCTCCTTAAAATATTTAACTTAATTTCTACGTTTGGTTAATAAAGACAATGAAGAGTTTAAGTTTTCCCATAGCAGGAATAAGTGCAATTGAAATCCTAGTATGAAGGTGTTACATAAGCATAAAGTAATATAATTCTGCTTATATACATTGCATACAGAACACCAATCCTAATATCGCCCAAAAGCACACAAATATGAGCTTCCCTGAATTGTTTGCTTATTTTCTTAGTTTTATGAAATTCAAACACAGGAATAGAAATCTGTGGTTCAGACTTTAGCTACTTTTCCCTGTGGTAAGAAATAAATCTGCTTTCACCCCACGTAGACAATTACGTAAGTGGACCCAAATTTTCCACTCCTTCTTCCTACCCAACAGAAAAAGAATGAAGAGCCTTCCTTCAGTCAAGACACTTCTCAGTACTTTCTAGGAGCTGAAAAAACTTCAAATCTGAAAAGACAACATGCTTTTTCAGGGCTTTAAATAATGTTTTACTAGCATAATCTCCACCAAATGAAGCAAACTGTGCACATGACATCAATTCCATACTTCATCTCGCTTTGTAGTCAAAGTAAGTTGTCAATTCTAACTAAAGTAAGGAAGACAACAACAGTAACTATGCAGTTGTAGGAAGCTGCAATACAATAATTTTAAACCAGAACTGTTAATCTAATGGAAATCCTTAGACATTAACACTACTACTTATCCAAAAATCCCTCATGTTTCTGGACAGTGCAAGCATTTGTAACCACAAATAACCATTGGGATCTTTCTACTTCTTTGACAAAGTAAAAGTTCTGAATTTTCATGTGATCCTTCCTTCCCACAGTTACCAACCTCTATAGGTTGGATTCCATATTTTTTCAGTAATACAAGCAACCCCAAAAAGCAATGAAGACTTGAAGTCTACAGGATGTCATGGAGGAAGAAAAGCCATTATCCAACCTAATCCAATTCTGATGATGCTTATACTATGAAATAAAATGAGTGTAGATCCTTGAAGAACTTCATAAGATTCTTACATCAGACTAACTTGTGCTCGTACAAATACTCCCTGCCACTGAAAAGGTTGTATTATGTTACTACAAACAAAATAGGTTTGGTTGAACAGCTATTACATTTAGACAAGCAGGTTACAATTCAGTTATAAAGGATAAAGGCAGATGTGCGATATGAATCTCTAAGTAAGCTTCACTATCTGTAAAACTTCAAGCACATATGTAAAAATAAACTAAATAAACTGCTTTTGTAAAACAGTCCTCCAAAAGCCCTGCAGTTACAGACAGTTTGCCATCGCAAGAACGGTGAAACCAGCCCTCTGATCAGAGAGGGCCTAACCAGGGCCCAAAAAGTAACAGCTGTAAACAACTGCATCCAAGGACATGGTTTGGAATGGAATGTAGTATCTACTTTTATGCTCTTCTCCTATCTTTATGGTAGAGGTGCAATCTGGCTAGCTGGACATCTTTGTTCTACCTTAACCTCTGTTTTTGTGGTAGAAGAACAATTATTTCAGGTCTTTGAAACTGTTGTATTATTAAAGAGTTGTATTATTTGATCTCAGCTGAATTTGTTTCCTTCTAAAAAAACCCTAATTTAATCTCAGGCTTTTTATTCAGTTACTGAGAAATGAAAAACTGTTTCTCTCTTTTAGCCCTTCTCCTCAGCCATAAAATAACGTTAATGGAGAAGAACAGCATTTGCAGGAAAGGTAATATTTCAGTGTGACAACAGGAAAGGGTGAAGTGCTGCAGAATAAAAGACTTAGTAGAAGATAACAATTTCACAGACACAGAATTAAAAAGGAAAATCACTGTAACTGATACAGTCTTTATCAATCCTATAGGCACAGCACATTGCAGTATCAGTCAGCTGAAGTTGTAGTATCATTAACTGCTGAACTCTGAAGAGCAGGTCAAACATTTTAACTGTGATACGATCAGCAGCAGCACTTATATTTGTCCTTCAAAAATATCATTAAAGCTAGAAAGATGATTCTATACTGAACATCTGAATAGCACAAGTAAATTACAGCATTCTCTCACTAAGAAAACTCTTGTGGAAACTGACAGATGCTATGCTGAGATATAAGAATATGTACACCACTTAAAACTTTTTATTTGAGGGATTATACCAGAGTACAACACTGGATTTATGCCAAGCTATTTCTGAATATTAAAAAGTACTCCCTCTTATAGAAGTCATTTCTGGACTGCTGATAACATGAACTGAATATGCACTGGAGTTTAAAATAACTTTGTGAATGCCACTTGAAAAACTGAAATAGCACCACTGAAGATAGCAGCGAGAACATATCAGATAAAGATGCTAGGTGACATTTAATCCTATGGAAAGCAGTCTTCGCTTTGAAACACATCTCCTAAGGGGACAATAGAACTGTGTGCATATGTACCATGTTATACATAATGGTTTACCATCACCCTAAAACTACAGCTTTTTGTGTTCAGACTTCTCATACTTGATGACCACATTGCTGAAGTTTCAACATACTCCACATAAGAGGGCATTTGAACCACATTGAAGAAAAAAAAAATCAGAGTATCAAAAAATTATGCACACAATGTAAAATCAAAAAAAGACATTGCTGTAAATTATATCAATATTGAGGTTTGATCTCAGTTATGCAGAAAAACATATGCAATATTCCTTCAAATATTTAAACAACAGATTAAAGATCCAAATGCATGATGAGACAGATGCTTTATGAGAGTAAGATGTTTTCATTGTGACTAATACTGTCTGTTAGGTCAGAACCCTCTGCCACTTGTATAGCACTATAAATATATACACAAAATGTGTAAATAAATGCTATGTTTACATATCTAAAGTTTAGTAAAGTTGCAGTTTCGCTATATATTTATTCTGACTTGCTGCTGCCAAAAGAAATCACATTACTGATCTTTTGCACCAAAATCAGTTTTTGCAATAACGAGCTGACAGATTTTGGAACTAATGCCATCAAAAGTGAACCTGTCTCTCACCCTCTGAAGGGAGAGGGGACTTCCATTAACTAAAGTAGAGAGTAGATGAAAATAGAACTCCAGAATGCCGAATACCAAAATACCTGCATTAATATATCTAGACATTCTTAAAACATTTTTTTGTGTGTCTGACATCTGTTCTCATTCAGTCTTGAATTCTTCCAACTTTTATCTTTCTCAAGCTTCTCGAGTCAACAACTCTCCTCTTTCTTCTAGTGATTAGTAAATTATGTTTGCCTTTGGTGAAGAAGATGCACATTGGTGTTAAACCATCTACTGAAGTATTTTTCTCTGGCATAAAAAACCCCACAACCCTTACTGCCTCGATGTATTTATACACACATATTTCAATATATAGCCTTTTACTGCTGTAATGCTAAAATTTCCACACTTAGTGCAGCAAAGAAAGACTAAATAATCCCGAAAAGGACGACAATCAAACCACAAAAACAACAGAAAACAACCAAAAGAGAGATCCATAGTGAAAAAAATAACCCTATTTTTCTTTTTGTTTAAACCATCAAGCCCCTTAATCTCTTCCTGAATGCAACTGCTATCCTCTGTTTCCTAACACATTAAATTTAAGATTAATGTTACACACACCTGCTCTTCTTTCCTTTCACCTCCACTTGTTCATCCCAAGTATCTTTTTTCTGACTTCAGTTCCTGTAGGAACAGGACAGCTCAAATCCAAAAAAGAACTTATTAGGATAGCTCAAATGCAAAAACAATTCATCACCTATCAGCAAAGTACCTTCCTCAAGTAATAACTACTATGACAGGAAGTTTAATAAAAGCCAAACAAACAAAAAAAAAAGGTGATCCCAAGTGGATCTCCGGTCCAGTTCAGAGTGCTGCAGCCTCTTTTACATCAGTATAGAGATGTTCATGTACTTTGAAGAGAAAGCTTGTGAGGAGAGGTTGTTAAAACTAATTTTTTGTTATCAACTGATTTCAGCTTGGTCTTAAAAAACAGATTAAGGATATGCCAGCTGTGTTAATATAGTAACACTATACTACATAATGTTTATCATTTAAATATATTATTACTATATGATCAATGTAATATTCTGAAATCTCAATCCAGACCTTCTTCCCAGCATGCCTGATACCCACAGCCGTCCATTTATCATTTGCTAATCACCTTCCACCTAAAATTGCCTCCCTCTCAAAGAAACACCATGACAGTTTTTCCTTATAAAGTTTCTCATATCTAAAACACTACACCAGATTTAAAATTCTCCAAAGCAAACAGCTAAGCTTTTCAAGGTAGAAAAATTAGTTTATCTGAGTCTTCTGTAAAGTCCTATGTAAACCTACAATATATAATTGAACTGCTTAAAGAACATGAAATTTCAAAGACATTGTAATTTCATTTTCTAGTGATAGTAGGTAACACATGACAATAAACACTGTCAAAATTAAAATCAATCAGAAATGCCAATGGAGAATCAGATGTTTAAATACTGTTATTTTTATTAGAGAGATATATATTGTATGTAATATAATATTTTTAGGGCTGAAAGTAGCACTGTTCTTCATCTCACTGTTCAGTCTATTAAAATATCCAAGATAAGTGAGTAGCTGATACACTCTGTGTAAGATCACAGCTTATCTCTGACAAGTCATCATGACGACAAGAGACTGCATTCTCAATAGTAATTACCCCGCATTTTTATTCACTCGGAGAGAGATACAAATTCACATCTGAGATGAAATCTAAAGACCTTCATTTCCTCTCCAGAATACAGGACTACTAATGGTATATAAGGTGGTGCCAATACAAAAAAAAAAACCCAAACAACTAAACCAAGCTTACATGTTTCGTTATTTCAGACAGAATGGAAAAAACAAGTAATCTCAACTATATACCCATTCTACGTCCATGTTCTGCTCACAGCTGGTTCCTAAGTCAAGCGTAGAGGGTCAAAAAGTAGCTTAACTTTGAGCCTGTATCTTACACCCTTGCTTAGCTTTTTGCAAATAGCCTTATTTATGAGGATATCAGAATTGGGCTTTAAGTACATATCCTGTTTCTTTAATTATACAGATACAACAGATACCTCATTTAACCCCACTTAAAAATGTGACAGGAGTATACACGGTCACCTTTTTTAGGCTACTTAAAAGATTAGAAGACATTTTTAGGCACCCTGAAATTCTGCCAGCTGTTTAGTAACCAGCAACAAAGTGACTCAGCTACTCCGCCTACCACACTGCCAGGAAATTCTATTCCAAGCCAGCCAAAGCACTTTTACCTTTATCAGAGTACTGGTGCTCTAACGCGTGGAGATCAGGCAGCAGGTGCAAGCAATTGATGCAGCAGTAAGTAAAGAAATCCAACACCACAACTTTTCCACAAAGGTCTTTGTGAAGAGAAATAGGACCCTCGGTGTTTAACCATTGTAGATCTGGAATACAGAGACAAGAGATACCCGGTTAGAGGAAGGGTAGGAAAAGGCAGCCACTTACACGAATTAGCACAACATCACACAACTGTTCCTTGTATGTTTCACTAAAAAAAAAGAAAAGTTCAACATCACTTTCTACACAGGTAGAAAAGCAAAGCAAGAGCCTTCTATTTATCAAACTTATCCTTATGTTCCACAGTTCTTCATAGTTAGTAAATGAAAAGAAATACTATTAACAAGATTTAACGTGAAAGAGTGGTTTATATATTTAAATAGGCACCTTTTAATTGAAAGAACATGTAAGCCTCAAAACAATTTTCATACATTTTAAAACATGATCTACATTATTCAATCCCTAACAATGTCATACAGGTACTATTTACAATGAGAATAATTTCTCAAGTTTATGCATTATTTCCGCATAAGTGCAATGCTTTACTGGTTATTTTTTAAAATAAAAGAATAATTTATTTTATGGTGTTGCTTCCCTTTTCCCTAGAACTAAAATACCTTTTATAAAAAAATACTGAAAATTAAAAATGTTTGCTACCTATTTGAGCCCTTTTTAGAGAACATATGCTATGACAGAATACAGAAAGTGAAACAATACTACAGACAAAACTGACAATTCAGTTCAGGGGTCCACATCTAGACAGAAAAAGCACTCACTTTGCACCCTTGATTACATGTCAGAATTCATTCCCATGATACGCATGTGATTTTAACCCTGAAGTTACCATGCTGAGACCTCTGTCTTGCAGTCAGATGTGAGCTCCCACAGCTGCAGAGAGCCTCACTAAGGTTAAAAGGAGCCTGAGCAGGACTTGAAAGATCTTACAAGGCTTAACCTTTGATTTCATGTTTACCACAAGAAGAGATATATAAACGTGTGAAACACGTGAAAGGGAAACTGGCATACCACTGAGGGAGGATGACATTTCCAGCACAGTTTGTATTATCAGGGACAAGAAAACTGACAAGCACACAGAAGTCCTGGGGACAGAGAGCTGGGAAACATCCTAGGCGGCTGCAGCAAAACCAAGGGAGCTCAGGAGAAAGCTGTGAGAGTCGGTACGGTTTTCCCTATGAACACAGAGATCAATATACTGTACAGATGGGAAAGGCTTTATTAAGGAAAAAAAATAAATTAATGAAGATAGAAATTGAGAAGTGAGGCTTAAAAGAAGAGGTTTTTGCAACCAGAAGCAGGAGGAGCATTTATAAAGGGATTCTTTTTTCTTGTCCTTTGCTGCTGGTACTTTCAGGAGTGACGTTCCCCGTAACTAGAAGTGCCTTTTAAAAAAGTAGCTAACGGGGCCGTAATTACACGGCCCTCGCAGGCGACGGGACGCGAAGACAAACGCCACACGGTACGCGTGACGTAGAGCTCAGCCACCTCTACCGGGGGAGACCCC